TGAGTTGAGAGAAGTCAATAAATATTAAATACTGAGGTTTTTTTTTTATTTTTAAATCAAAAAATTAAAAAAATTAAGATTGAGATATTGGAACTACTACAAGGTTTAGGGGTTAGAAATCTCCTTTTTCTTATATAATATAGATAGATAGATAGATAGATAACTAAAATATTTTTTTTCGTTACTTTTACTTAATAAAAATAGATAAACAATTAAATTAAAAAATTTAAATTTAAATTGATAAAATTAAAAATTAAATATTTTTTTTATTACAACCTCAAACCTTAAATTTATTTATTTTGTAATTTTTCTATTTAACTAACAAAATAAATAAAGGGAGAAAGAGTAAGAAAAATTAATACTAGCACGTGAATGGCACATGCTCGAGCTTCGTATAAGTGCTGTAATCCTCTTCTGCTCTTCCTCTTGCAAACCCTAGACGGCAGTTCGTATCAGGTACTCTCTCTCTCTCTCTCTCTCTCTCTCTGTCTCATGCGACGTTGAGTCTGTATTCTACAAATTCACTGCTAGATTTTACGTTTCTGATTTAATTTTCGGTGCCATTTTTTGATTAATTTGTGCAGGGGTATTCGGTAGTTTTTTTAGGGTTTAGGGTTACCTCACTTAACAATGGCTCCTGCTAAAGGTATGTACTCCATTTCTCATCATATAGATCTCTAATTTGCTATTGATTTGTGGTTATCTGGAATAAAATGAGCCTTGAATACCATAACAATTGTTTGAAAGTAACTTATTCTCAGAGAGATTCTCATTTGAGACCAATATATATTTTTAGAGCAATGCTGCATCGCCCAAATTTTGGCTCGCCAGAATTGCCCCAATTTTGGCTTGCCGGTCGTCCGACGACAAGGTGACAGCCGCAGACCGCGGTAGACAAGTGTTGCACCGGTCGTCCTGCTGGTCATCCCGGCGGTTGACTGGAATGCACAAATTCGGGTGATTCGGGCAAACTCAAATTCGAGTTACCAATCATTTTTAATATTTTTATGGAAGTAATCATGATGCCAAACTATTTAGGTAGTAGGGTGTTGTATCATTTTATTGGGTATGTTGGTCTGTGTTGAAGTGGGCAGGCGGTAGCAAAATTAATCTTAAGACTGAGTCATAAAACCCTTAATTATATAAAAACTGAGATTTACTGATAAAGCGAAAGAAAAGAATCAGAGAAAACCAGCTGTTAAGGTTCAGCAACAAACATGAATCAGTCTAAATGAGATAGGTTACGTAGCCATGTTGTTTTTTGGTCTTATCTAGATATATAGCAGAATTCTCAAAAAATTAGCAAGGACAATTTTTGTATTTTTATTTGTATCATAAAAGTCATAATAAAATTCACTAAGGCTGTGTTTGGATCATTTGATTTGGGTAGGAATTCGGAAAGGTAAACGAAAAGGTGAAGGAAATGGGAAAAAAATTAGCTTATATTTCATTCATATTTCCCTTACTTTTTCTTTTCCTTCACAAATCCGTACCCAAATCTTAGATCCAAACACAACTTAAAAGTGTCAAAAAGGGTGAACTGGAATAGATGCACTGTTTAAAGGAGCCAAGAAAAGAATGCCTTTTTTTTAAAAAAAAATAATAATTTTCTTTAAAAGACCAAGATGAGCAAGTTATACAAGGATATGCTTAAAGGCTAATCTCCATGTCAACTATAAAGTCTTCTTTTGAGATTGAAAATGATAAGGTTGAAGTCAATTTAATAGGCTTGAAATACTGCTGAACTGGAGTAACTTAGTGACTAGGTGAACATTGGTGTGTGCCCATGGTTACATGCCCGTACATAAACACACACTCTGGAGTAAATAAATTATGTTTGCATGCTATTTTTGTGTGTTAAAGAGGCAAATTTATTTTTTATGCAGCTGACCCGGCTAAAAAGTCTGATGCGAAGGCCCAGGCCTTGAAGGCTGCCAAAGCTGTGAAATCTGGTTCATCAACCTTTAAGAAGAAGGCCAAGAAGATAAGAACAACAGTCACCTTCCATCGACCAAGGACGTTGAAGAAGGATAGGAACCCCAAGTACCCTCGCATTAGTGCGACCCCAAGGAACAAACTTGATCAGTACCAAATCCTAAAATATCCACTCACCACTGAATCAGCAATGAAGAAGATTGAAGATAACAACACCTTGGTTTTCATTGTTGATATCCGTGCTGACAAGAAGAAGATCAAGGATGCAGTCAAGAAGATGTATGACATCCAGACCAAGAAAGTGAATACCTTGATTAGGTAAAAGCTTACATTTTCTCTACTTATTGCAATTGATTGTTATTATTGGTATCTATATTATATTTTGTGTTTAAATATTCTTAACTTTGGTTTGTTTAAAATTTCAATATCAATTTATCTAGTGTGCATGTATGGTTTTGTGATTCCTTATTTTTTATAGCTTACAAGTTCAGCACTGATATTCTATAGATGGAAAATAATCAATATCAATTTAAATATTAGTTTTACACCATAATATTGTTAGCACATGTGGAGCTATCACTTATGCAATCATTGGTGCAACTTACAAGCCGTAATCAGGTCATATGATCTCGTATTCTGAGAGATGTGGTTATATAGTTGTTGATTGATTATTGTGGTGGATTTGGTTTTCTAAGGGAAAGAAAGCATTTCAATTGTTAATTTCATTGTATTTTATCCAATCCAATGATTCTTTCAGGAGTTTGCCTGTAGGGGTGGCATCTAGGGCTTTTATGAAGCAAGAATAATTTGTGATAATTGGTTTTTGTTTTAAGGAGGAGACGGAATTGTCCCATGCCAAATAAAATGGAACCATTTCATGTTCCTTTTATTGTCTGCATACACCACTAGCGTTGTGTAATTTAACAAATTTATTCTGACATGTTCTCTTATTTTATACTACACTGAATCTCATTTGCGTTTGTCATTGTTTCAGGCCTGATGGGACGAAGAAAGCCTATGTGAGGTTGACACCAGACTATGATGCTTTGGACGTGGCAAACAAGATTGGGATAATCTAAGATAGTAGTCAACCTTTCATATTCCAGTTGTATGATTTTATTTGAAGTATTTTAATTAAAATCTCCCACATTTTGGCTGAGAATTTTGTACTGAGATTTGGTTTCAATCCGTTTTATAGTTAAGTACTGGGCTGTGGTGGATTCCACATCTTTCAATTTTGTAAGCTTGGATTGGATTTTGAGTTCTGGTTTTATGATTGTATCTCGACCTTGTTACATTGTTGCCATGCACACTGTTGTGAGTTTTATGCGCCTCGTGTCAGCCTCCTGTTGATGAATCTCTTTTGGTTTGAGAAATGTCATTACCATGCATGTTAGGTGTCTGAGTGCAATCCATAGCATGGGTTCATAATGCAGGATTCTGTCTGTCCCATTATTTCCTAAATTTTTACGTGCACGCTCAAATTCAATAAAAGACAAGTTCATTTGGACCGAATATTTTTCATTTTTTGAAAGGTGAAAAATGTTTTTTGAACTAAAATGTTTTTTATGTCACCACACTACCACCAACACCATCAGCTGGCTCAGCCACCCAACTGCCATTGTCACTACCATCATCATTGCTGCCCTGCCATGCTATGCCGTTGCAATTGCCGCCGCCACCACCCTAACACCCTGCTAACACAACTCTGACCAACCCACCAACAGCACCTCAACCCCCACTCTCCTTCCACCACCATTAATATAGCTGCTAATACATTAATTTTATGTATGCAACCAAACCTTACAAAATGTTTTTTGGCAGAAATAAATTGAGTGATGGATGCCTGGATGAATTTTTGCTGATGGTCTAAAGAATTTGTTTGATCAATATGAATGTCAAAACTGGTTTTTGAAACCCAACATTAGATTTATAGAAGATGGGAAAATATTTTTTTTTTATTACGAACTGATGGATGAACAAATCCGACAATTTATATCCAAAACGAAATGGTGTCTAGGTTGAGGATTGCAAGCAACAAAATAAATTGTGATCTGGTCAGGAGAGGGCAAATAGGAAGTAAATTTTTTGATGAATTCGAAGGTAGTGGTGGAACCAAAGAATTTATTCTGGAGGGGGTAAAAATAGCTTGAAACAAGAGTGGCTCGAAAAACACCACACTTTGTCAAATCTAATACCGTTTTTACATCAAAAAAATGATTGACAATACACACGCCTAGCAGGACTACAATTTGTACAATATATAGGATCATTGCACTTGTATAGCATTCTAGCTGTAATCAAAACCTCACTAGAACACTTGATTCAAAGATAGACATATTTCCAATTATCAGTAAACATGAAACATCGCAAGTAAACTCCATAAAACATGAGAGTAGTTTGAATGGAGAATGAATTGTTATGCAGGAAGCTTAGCCATTCCCACAGTAATCTCCAACAAACTATTTGGCATTGCTTTGGTTCTGCTAAGTTCATCTTTGCTCACCGAAGAGCCCAAGCAAAGTAGCAATTATATTAGTTTCATGTCGGCCAAGACAATCTTCGATCTTGTACAGATGAAATTGTGAGGGAGTCTAAAATGGACAAGCTCGTCTAGTGTTTTGAGAAACTCGATTACATAAAGAGCAGATTTCGAGTTTGAACTCCAAAAGAAAAATCAAATCTAGATTAAATGCACAATAAGAGAAAATTATGTGCTTAGTTTCATCAATCAAATACATAAATTTGCACACGCACCAAATATAGAAAAAAATATAATAGAAGTATTACCAAAAAAAAATAATAATTTATAAATTATTGTATTCACGATCCTATTTGAGCTTAGCTTGGTTCTACTTGAGATTGACTTGATTACAAAATGAGACTAAAAATTTAACTCGAACTCGTTCATTTAGCGAAGAGCTCAAGTTGTTCATGAACAACTCGATTAGTTTACAGCTTTATCTACAAGCAAACTCATTGATATTGCTTTGCTTCTGCTAAAAAATCATCTTTGCTATCCAAATCAAAGCATCTTGGATCTTCTGAAGTAAATACTTGAGGGAGAATGTGAAATATACCAATTTCATTCATTACTCCATAAATCAGAGTCTCTTGAATCATGTCTTTACACAAAATTGTGAACATAAAACTGGATATAAGATTCTGTCAAAAGTTTGGAAGCTTGGCTGCTTTCCATCACATGTTCAAGAAAAACGTCAGTACCGTATAAATCTCATCCTTTTTGCTGTGTGTCCTATCCGCAGTACCAAACACATGAATGCGGTTTTCAATTTCAATCCAACTACACCCCGGGACCCTTTTCATCCCTTTCTCCCTCATCTCTTGTCTGATCATCGACATGCTCTGCCACCTCCCAGCAGCCGAATGTGCATTTGACAGCATAACGTACGATGAAACGTCTCCAGGATCCAAAGCCAGAATTTTTGTGGCAGCAAGCTCTCCCAATTCCATATTTGAGTGGATTAGGCACCCTCCAAGCAATGATTTCCAAAACCCAATTCCCGGGTCAAAAGGCAAGTCATGGATAAACCTCCCTGCTTCCTGGAAATGTCCAGAGCGAGAAAGTAGATCAACCATACAAGCATAGTGCTCTGGTTTTAGCATGTTGGGGTCTTTGAGTCTTGCTTGGTTGAAATATGAATAACCCTCATGGACAAGGCCAACATGGTTACAAGCCAGAAGTACACCAAGTAGTGTTACGCTATTAGGTTGAAGACTTGGGTGTTGTATTTTATGGAAAAGATCTATGGCTTCTCTTCCTCTCCCGTTTTGCGCATACCCACATATCAAAGCATTCCAAGAAACTATATTTCTTTCAGGGAGTTTGCTAAAGACCAAGAAACTATCTTCCATACTTCCACATTTTGCATAAAAACTGACCAGAGAATTGGCAACAAACATGCCAAGATCGCCCAAGAACTTAATCGCGCAAGCATGGAAACTTCTGCCCATTCCAAGCGCGGCTATATTGGCAGCTGCACTCATAGCACAAGGAAAAGTAGACTGGCTGGGCACAAACCCTTCTCTCAACATCTCAACAAAAAGATTCACAGCCTCCTCATTATGGCCCGTTTGGCTATGCCCCCCAATCATCGCATTCCACGAAACAACATTCCTCTCCGGCATTGCCTGGAAAAGCCCAAAAGCATCGTCAAACATCTCTTTCTTGAGGTACCCACAAATCAAAGTTGTATAAGAAACCACATTAGGCTCGTGAGTATCTTCAAAAGCTCTTTGAGCTTCCTCGATTGTGCTCAACTTGGCATAGAGGTCCAAAATTGCACTACCCACAAAGACATTTGACGCGAGGTCTATCTTCGCCGCACAAGCATGAAGTTGTTTGCCTAAATTGAGGTCTCGTAGAGCTGTGGAAGAGTGTATGACAGTGCCAAAAGTGAATTCATTGGGTCTGATATTCATCACAAGCATTGTTGAGAAGAGAGAGATTGCCTCCTTGTGACGATGGCGTTGAGCGAAGCGGCTAATTATTGTTGTGGCCGAAACTACGTCCCAGTCAGACATTTCGTCGAACAATTGGTGAGCATCTGAGAATGCTTTGGATTCACAGCTAGATTGAACAATGTTTGATTCAACAGCTGAAATTCCCAGTTTAATTTCACGTCCATGAGACTTCTGGGTTTCAATTAGATGGCTATAACATAAAGTGGATGCTTGTCTTTGAGTGTTGGAGATGGGTTGAGAGAGAAGAAGCTTACATATTCTGGATTTCATGTGTGCCTTCGTGGGGTTGCACATGCCCAATGAGCAAATTGGGCAACTACATCTTTTGACTCTACAAAGCCCAATGATTCAAAATTCTAAAATTGTTTCCAACTTTTTTAATATTATTATTTGGGAATATATGTTGTGTTTGGTATAGTTTATGATAACGATTTATGAAAAATAAAATAAAATAAAATAAAAGCTTAAACAATTTTTTTAAAAAACTTATGGGTGTAAGGTTAACTTTTTAGTATAGTTTAAAACTTTGGTATAGTTTAAGCTTAAAACTTTTTAGTATGGGTGTAAGCTTAAACAATTTGGTATAGTTTAAAACTCGGTCGAGATCTCGTTTGGGAACATATTTTTTATTAACATTTTAGTTTTTTGACTGAAATATGAGATGAAAAAAATTAATATGTTTGGAATGTTTTTTTTTTTAATTTTATTTTTTACGAAAAGTTATGCAAAGAGTAGAATAAATGAAAAGAAATATTTGACAATTTGGTAGTTGTTGCAAAAATGCCCTCACCCCTTGCATCTTCTTTTTATTTCCTTCATCTCTATCCATTTCTTTCATTTAGTCAAAACTTCAACCAAACAAAGCATGCCTCTTTATTTCCTTCTCTCCCTTTAATCAATTGAGATCAGGAAAGAATTTGAGTTTTTAAATTATGGGTGTAAGGTTACAGAAAAGGTAGGGATGTCAGTGAAAGAGAGGTAAACGACAATAGAAATGATAGGAGATGTGAATGTAGGGTGAAAGGTTGAGTGGTAGTGTATTTGTGGTGTGTGGAAAAAATTTACCACTCGGTATAGATGACATTAGAAAACACATTTGCATATTTATTTTGGTTAAGGTCGTTAATTAGGAGAATCTCTGATACTTAAGTCAATGTTTATTAATGCACTATCAATAGAACGGTAAATATAAATGTTATTGATTGTGTACTTTGTTCGATAGATTTGTTGCTTACTTATGGTTGATTGCTCATGATTGTTGTGGTTGTTAATAAACTTTAGCCATTGCCCCATTTTGTTCCGTTTTCCTTGGAATCATGTCCATATTCACAATATTATACAAATAGATAAACACATTCCATCTCATAGTGGACTTACCATTGACCTGGTCCACCCTTTACTTGGGTTAAGTTGTTCGACCTATTACATAGCTCGACAACTAGTCGAAGACTGTGCTTGATGATGTTGCCACATATCCTATTTGGCTAGCAAGTTGGTAGCTTGGTCATGTAGCAATTTAGCTCATATTTACCTCTTATGTGTGGCGATTGAATTAATTGACTAGTTTCTTCCATTTCCCTTGCTTTCTCAAAATGTTGAGTATTCCAGGACAAGTTAAAACACGTTGAGTACATGCCACATATATCCCTTGCACCACTCACAAGTCACATGCATCAAAAACGTTTTAACTACCACTAAACACAAGTGATATATGCGACACAACTCGTGGCTCTCACTTCCATTTAACACAAGTTTTATTTGCGTTCGACAGTTTTACGTTCTCCAACAAAACTTTTAGTTTAGAGTAATGATTTAAATCAAAATACAATCATTTTAATTGTTTAGTTGACAAAGTTGAATTATGCGTGTTTTGACAGCATAAGATGGAGAGGGGTCACAATCAAGAATGGATCTACGGGAGTGTAGAGGGAGCAATCACATTCCGAAAAATTTTAAAAACATCATATATTATATTAAAAAATTTAAAAATTTGCGCCTCAAACATTCTCTTGCACCTCATAATGACAATTTTGAATTCATCCCTGATCACACCGACATTGCAACAAAGAGGGATGCAGCAGTGTTATCTCATAAACGGCCAACAGGTTGGATCATAGTTACATCACGATTAAATTAAGTCACCTAGGCGGCCTACAAAGGGTAGCAAATCTTCTCCAATTCATGGATCAACAAATTGGGCACCAATTTTGGTCAAACTCGCGTATTTGCCATGAATTAGTTTTCAACTAGTGATATTTTGCCACGTAATTGTGACTACACATCTTTATGCATTTTCGTATGAAAAAATAAATGGTTAATATAATAATTTAGGGATATAAGCAGTATTTGGGATAATTTAAATAAGTATATTTTTTGACTTTTTATAAAAATATGTATAAAAAAATAAAAAGGTATATGACAAACACCTCCTAAATTAAAATTAATTAGGAGAAATTACACACACTCACACGCGCGCGCGCGCGCACACACAAAAAAAAAACTCTAGTTTTCGTTTGTTTCAAAAAATATATAAATATATTGTCATTGGAAGACCATAGAAAAATATATAAATATCAAAGTAAAAAATCAATGAAAAAGGATATATTTAGGTCTTGAACGTACAGATATATTGCAAATTTCATGGATTGAATTTTGATTTTTTTTTCTTCTGATTTTTAGATAACCAAATAAAAGTTTTAAAAATTTTTAAAAATTGAAGTCAGAATTTAAGAATCAAACATGGTGATTAGTTTTTGTTACAGTATTAAAATTTATAATTTTTTTTTGTATTTGATGTTATAGTAGTTAAATTTTTATTTTTGTATTTGATTGAGATGTTTAATTATCCAACTGAGATTTGATGACTAACAAAAAAAATGTTGTATTTGATGTTATAGTAGTTAAATTTTTATGTTTTTTTGCAATTAACATTAACACATAATTATATTGTCATTAATTATTTTTATATTTATTTTTCAGATGTTTCCCATGTAAGAGTGCGCTTCTTGTGGAATGCATGCCTGTGGAGAATGTGGCTAACTTTTGTTTTTGTTATCTACGAAGAATGATGAGAAAAACATTTAATTTTGGTTTATGTTATTTTGAATTATGAACAAAATAATATATTTAAACATTATAAATATATTATGGAACATTATGTAGTGTGATAATTTTGTTGATGTGTAATTATGAATGGAAGAATATTTTATTATGAAGAAATTATTATTTTTATATAGGAATTTTTATATTATTATGGAGAAATTTTAATATTTTTAATAATTTTATCGCAGGATGTTTTTTTCTTTTTTGTGACGGTACTATACCGTCGCAAAAAATAGAAAATTTTAATATTTTTATTGATTTTGTTATAGGTTTTACTTTTTGCGACGGCACTAAACTGTCGCAAAAAATAAAAATTTTATTATTTAAAATAAAAATTTTATTATTTTTTAAACTTTTTGCGACAGCAGTACACTGTCGCAAAAAATAAAAAATTTCATATTTTTAATACTTTTTGCGACGGCACCGCACCGTCGCAAAAACAGTGTTCTTGTCGTTGCAAAAAAAGACTATTAGCGACGGTATTTTTTGCCATCTCAAATAACATTTTTAGCGACGGTAAAATAGGGCCGTCACAACAAGTCAAGAAATTTCAAACATTATTAGCGATTACAAAGTGCCGTCGCAAAAACTCTTTTGCAACCCCCTTTGTTGCGACCCCCCACTTGCCGTCGCAAAAAGCCACCTACCGTCGCAAAAAAACCTTTTGAGACGGCGTTTGGGGTATTTGCGACAGCGTTTTACCATCGCAAAAAAGCAATTTTTTTGTAGTGCACAAAAAATATTATTCTTATAGATTAATTTTACATTGAAAAAAAAAATTTATTTTTGTTTTTCGACATTTGGTTGATACTTGAAACAAAAAAAAAAATTTATTGTTTAAAAGAAAAAGTTTGATTCAATAAATGACTTTTTAGTGAATTAAGATATATATTTAAAAAAGCTAAATATGTTGAAAATATAGTGAATAAGAGTTAACTTTATAAAAATTAACTTACAAAAATTTTAAAGGTAAGTCATTTTTGAAAAAATGATGCAAAGATATTTCTCTTAAAAAATGTTTTGCTTGCTTTTTGTTCAAGCAAATAACGGAAAATAAGTAAAGTATTCTTGACAGAAACATTTTATGTCAAAATAAACGGAGCCTAAAATTTGAACCTTATAACCAAATAAATCTTGAATTTTTAACTTTATTAATTTAAACCATAATATTTTGATTTATTTTTAATCTAAATCATTTGCTTATTTTCATTAAGTAAAAGTGACCAAAAATAATATTTTAATCATTATATTCAATGTAGTTATATATAAAATACTACTTTCCATTAAGATTAATAACTATTTTTTTTTTTTGGTTAGTTTTACTTAACAAAAATAGACATATAATTTACATTGAAAATAAATCAAAAGATGAGAGTTTAGATTAATAAAATTAAAAATTTATTTTATTATAAGCCTCAAACCTTAAAATTTATTTCACTAGACTAGTGAAAATCTACGCACGGGATGTGAAAAAATTAATAAAATATGTTTATATGAAATAATATAAATTAGATTTTTGTATGTAAATTATGAAAATAAAAAATATATATATTGAAACTTACAATTTAAGTTTTACAATTTTATCATAATTTATGTATCAATTTTTAATTTGTCACAATTCTAATTTATTTTTTTAATAATAAATAAGATTAATTACAAATTTAATATTAATGAACAAATACAACTTTTAAAAAGGGATCATCGAATAAGTTGATATTAAAAAAATTATATTTTATAATGGCATAAAATAATTTAAATATGATTTTTCAAAAATTATTTTTAATTTAAAAGTTACAATAAAATATTTAAATATAATAAAATTAAATTTCTACAAAATAAAATTATCTGTATTAAAAAAAAAGGGAAAGTTACCAATAAATCCTAAATGTTGAAATTGTGCTCCATTTAGTCCCAACTTTTTTTCGTTTGATCTATTTGGTCTTTTCTATTGCTCAATGACGTAAATACCACTACATATTTTTCTAAACGCTTGAATAGGTGATGGTGTGGTGTGGCACAACCTCATATTTGTGTGTTTCCGAAATTTGTGTTTGGCATGTTTCACATTGAGGGTGATCGGTGGGTGCAACACATCAACAAAGTACACTAAGGCTCTTTATGCTTTTTGCTTTAAAATAATGTATGTCACGTGACACACAGTGTTTGGCACGTGTCTTTATGAGGGTGATCGGTGGGTGCCACATATCAACAAAGTACACTAAAGCTCTTTATGCTTTTTGCCTTGGAATGATGTATGTCACGTGTCACACACATGGAAGGGTATATTTGACCACTCAATGTTACCAAACGAAGGAAATATGATCAACTGGTAA